GCTCCTGCAGTGCCCTGGACCACGGGAGGGGGATCTATGATGTCCACAGAGGTACTGCCAGGGTGAAGCACCCATGCCTCAGTCTCACTGGGAATGGAATGTCACTCGCCCTGTGACCCTGACGGCCAGCCCAGCCGACTAGAGTTCCTGTGCCTTGACAACACTCTTGCCCAGGTAACTGAGGACAGGCTTCCCCTCCCTTTGAAATGGGCAACAGAATTATAATTCTTGGTGTGTTCCCAGGAATCATGAATCTGTATCCGGGCTAAAGGCAAAACTGGCTCTGCAACAGGAGAGAGGAACTGAGATACATGGCTGTCACAGGGTCACAAGGTTCTATAGTAACTTTTGAGGACCCTGAAGACTCAGGATGGTCAGCCAGCCCTCCTAAAATGAGAGGAGACAGACCAGGCTCAATGGCTCACGCCTGTAATCCCAACACTTAGGGAAGCCGAGGTGGTTTGAGATAATCCTGGATGATATAGCAAGACCGCATCTCTACAAAAAAAAAATTAAAAATTAGCCAGGCGTGGTGGATCATGCTTGTTGTCCCAGCTACTCAGGAGTCTGAGGCAGAAAGATTGTCTGAACCCACGAGGTCAAAGCTGTGATGAGCCAAGATCCTGCCACAGCATTCCAGCCTGGGTGACACAGTGAGAACCTGACTCAAAAAATAAATCTGTTATCTGCTCATATTATAGTGGAGAGATATCTTTTTTGTCCAAGTATAAGATATGAGTTAAATAGTAGAAAAAGTAGCTTTTTTTAAATCAGGGGATTCCCACTTGGCATATTTAGAATAGAAAAGATATGATAGATAGCCGGGCTCGGTGGCTCAGCCTGTAATCCCGCGCCTTTGGGAGGCTGAGGTGAGTGGATTGCCTGAGCCCACGGGTTCGAGACCTGCCTGGGCAGCGAGACCTCATCTCTACAATAAATCAAAAAATCAGCCGGGCGTGGTAGCGCGTGCCTGTAATTCCGGCTACTTGGAAGGCTGAGGCGGAAGGATCGCCGGAGCCCAGCAGGTCGAGGCTGCGGTGGCCGGGAGCGGCCACTGCACTCCAGTCTGGGTGACAGAGTGAGACTCCAACTCAAAAGAAAAGAAAAGAAAAGATATGATAGAATTTGCCCACCTGTTGATGGGGAACTTTTGCATATCTAAATATTTGCTGAATAAACGAATAAACCCTACATTCCCTCCCTTAATCGAAGAGACCTTAAGGCACCAAGCTGGAAAACAGCCACGCAGAGTTAGGCTTTCTACTTTAAAAAAAACCAGGGGGTGCAGTTGAGGTTGATTTTAGACCTTGGGTAGAGAAGTGACCTGATGAAAATTGTATTTGACAACTTCAATGGAGTTCAATACTGTTAACAAAGAGTTTTTGATGACATTAGAAAATGGTTGCTGTGTCATATGATAGTGTTAAGAAAAAAAACTCAATAAAAAATGTTTTAAAACACAAAGGAACCGGGCTCGATGTCTCAGCCTGTAATCCCCCACCTTTAGGAGGCTGAGGTGAGTGAATTGCCTGAGCCCGCGGGTTCGAGACCCGCCTGGGCAGGTGAGACCTCATCTCTACAATAAATCAAAAAATCAGCCGGGCGTGGTAGCGCACGCCTGTAGTTCCGGCTACTTGGAAGGCTGAGATGGAAGGATCGCCGGAGCCCAGCAGGTGGAGGCTGCAGTGGCCGGGAACAGCCACTGCACTCCAATCTGGGCGACAGAGTGAAACTCCAACTCAAAAAAAAAACACAAAGGATACAAAATTATATATATATAGAATAACATTTTAAAAGACAGGAAAAGGACCCCCTCAGATCCCCTCCCACTGTGGGTTCTTTTCTCCTCTTAATAAATCCTGCTTTAAAAAAAAATAAAAGACAGAAAAACGGGAAGGATCCATGTCAAAATGTTAGTTGCCTCAGGGAGATGGGTTTGGGAGTGGATTTTAAGTTCCGCTCCTCTACACATTTCCCTGTTTTCTCAATTTTCTTCCACATCGTGTATAGCTTGTATAATCAGAAGAAAATTAAAGTAAGAAAAAAAGTCGATGGTATTTGAGAGGTCTCCCCTTATCTTCCCTCTCTTGCCCAGGAGAGGCTCGGTGTGTCTGGAAACTAGAGTGTCTTGCTGGTGGCGCTGTGACCCAGGAAAGGAACTCTTCCATCCCGTACCTTGCTATGAAGATCAATGCAATTATCATGCTGAGAATGATGATGCCAGCAATGGTACCCACAATAGTAAGGATCAACTGAAATTCTGAAAGAGAAAAGAAAAGAGTAGGAACAGCCTCCGACAAGCTGGCCCTCAGCTGTCTACTGCACCAGTACATGTGTTCCTAATGACTCCTAGTTGTGAAGACAATCAGACTCCGGTCTCCAACCCTTTCAGGGCCAGGTTGGGTAGATGGCTTCTTTCCTTCAGCACTCCCTCTCCACACTCCCTAAACTGTGTCTTCAGAACTCATTCAGAAAGGGCAGCCTTGCTCAGATAAAATACAAAGGAAGCTGATGGTGACAGAGTCTTCCTGGGCTTTGTGGGGAATGGGATCTCAACCAAGGTCCACACTTCCCTCCTTACCTCTGTTGCCTTTGCCTACTCTCCATAAGTTACCTTACTGATAACCTAGGTGAAGTAGGTTGGAGTTAAAGTTGTCAAGAATAGAGGAGTCAGGTAATGGCTTGATAGCATCAGTGAAGGAAGAGTCTGGATTCATTATCGCCCATTCTCCTCCTCTAGCTCTGTTCTGGTTACTGCTATTGAACTGTGAGGTGGCTTGTAATTGCAACATACATGCTGGATTCCAAACACTCAGTCTGAGAAAAATGTGAACTAATGTATTAATACTTCTTACATTAACGTAAATGTTGAAATGATATTTTGGGATATATTTGATTAAATAAGTATATTCTCAACTTGCCTATTTCTTTTTCCTTTTAAAACTGTACTTAAAATTTTAAAGAGTACAATGAACTATGTAGCACACATTATGTTTCTATTAGACAGCACTGCTCTAGACCTCTCTGTCTCTTTCTGCTATGTGGCTTCCACAAATGTCAACTCTATCCCAGATTCATGGGGCTATAGACTGTTAAGTCTGAGAAAGACCTCAAAGTGCATCCGGTCCCAAATTCTCATTTTATAGAGGTGGAAACAGAAAACCCAGAGGGAAAAAAATGACTCAGCAAATTCTTCTTTGAAACAAAATATAGTAGAAATGAGAGCAATTCTCATCACTATCTTAGTAGCTGGCGGGAAGGCTGACAGTAATGTTTCTCTCATCCTTGATCCCTGATCTTTAGTTCATTACATACAGTTTAAAATGTAAAGTAATCCAAAAACTAAAGTTAGTATTGTTCCAGTCTGGTGGGGGTGGGGTATAGGAGGGAATGAAGCAACTGAATTTGCAGCAATGCATCCAAAACCAGTGAGTAGCTCTAAGACAAAAAAAAAATTGAGTATCTATACATGGCTGGTGTTGGACCTGGTATAGTGGCTTGTGTCTTCTAATTTTAAGACTTTGGGAGGCTGAGGTGGAGGGATTGCTTGAGCCCAGGAATTTGAGACCAATCTGGACAGCATAGTGAAACCCTATCTCTTTAAATAAAAATCAAAAGTAAAATAAAATAAATGTCTGGTTTCTAGGTCTGCTCTCTGACAATCACCAATATTTTTGGAACGTGCTGGTCTTTTATCCTTCCTCTCAGCAGATAATGCTTATTTAAGCTAATGTAGGAAATCAACATGGTGCTCCGATGTCCTTCTCTGGTCTGGAGCAAGTCCAGAGGTGCCCGTCCACTCCTTCGGCTAAGTTCTGTTATTTTCTGCAGCAGAAGTGCTGCTCCCACAACCTAAGGGTGGGGATGGGATGGCGTGACCTAGAAGACAAACTGCTAGCAGATTGTCTGTCTCTTTACAAAGGAAGCCAGAGACTCCGAGAGACTGGACAGGACTTTGACAGGGGACTCCAACTTCACCTTGAAGAATGCACTAGTTGCTTTCAGCTGCAACCGCTCTGAGTGTTCAGTGCCCAGGCTGATGGGGACCCTCAGCTCCCTCACACTCACTGCCAAATGTTTATTTCTCAGACATTGAATAGCTTGTTTATAATAGCAAGACTGTTATACTCACGGTCTTGACAGTCAAGTCCGCTATAGCCAAATGGACACCTAAAATACAGTGAGTGAGGAAACCATGTTAAAGAGTCCCAGTGGGGAGCGTGTCAGAGTTCACCCTGATCTCCACTTTTTCCTTCTCATCTTCCTTCCATTCTGTCCTCCCTTGTTCCTTCTCTTCTTTCTCTTGTCTTCCTCACGCTCCCATTCTTCCAGAAGAGCACCTTCCCTAGGGCTCTGGAAGGTTGACAGGGGTCTACAATCCTATGTGGGCTTATTTGCCCCTGACTGAACACTCCATCCTCTGAGCTCCAGGAAGATTCAGCAATTCAGGTGAAGCTGAACCTAAGAGACTGGGAGCATAGTAGAACCCTCTCAGACTGTGATGCCACAAGGCTCTGCTGCTTATTTCCTGCCCTGTGGGCTGGGTCATATTAGTTACACCCAGTTTCAGTTTCCTCATCTGGAAATGGGGAACTGATGCATTCCTGACAGTGTTGCTGTGTGGTAGGTATCACCTGGTGTGGTTTCTGGCACATAGAAAACACTCAAAAACTAAGGAGACGATGATAATGATGCTTGATGCCTACCAACCTATGCCAGCTTACCAACTTCCTGACCTGAAACCCATATATGTGTTGCGAGTTCTATCCTTTTGGCCTGGTTCCAACTAGGAGTGAGCGAGACAAAAATGGAGTAATTTGGGGCAATTTTCTTTCAGGTCCCCTCCCACTAGGGAGCTTTTTAATCTTCTTAATAAACTCCTGCTTTTTTACCTCAAACAAAAAAAAGGAGTAATTTCTCTTACCTTTGGCACATCTTGTGAGCATCCTCCTTGTAACCGGGCATGCACACACACTCAGGGACCTTGCCATCCTTCACTAGGCATTGCCTGTGCTTTCCGTTGCAGTTATCAGGACACTTTAGACTGAAAGCTTCAAAACAGAATGATTTCTGGGTAATTTACAGAAACAAACTCGTCAACCCCAAAGTGACATGTGACAGAAAAACAGATGTTCCCCCCCGCCACCCCCAGCTTTTTTTACGTAACGTGTGGTGCTCATTGGCTCTGCACATGACATACCCCCTGTGAGGCCGCATATGGGCTATCTCACCAGCTCCTGGCCAAGGTCCCCGTCATGGCCCATGTGTCTAAAGCCAAGAGTCACATCACTCGGATTTGGAAATGCTTGTGGATACTCAAGCAGTGAAGTCCACATTTCGCAAATGCATAAGGAGAGAAAGTCGTGACAACACTTAGAAGCAGGGAGAACACTTACCAAGACAGAAAGAGCTCTGTGGGCTGGGTCTCTGCAGGTCATCTTTGCAACTACATGTCAAACCATTCACACAGGCATCTGAGTCAATTTTACAACCATGATAATCACACCGACTTTCCACTGAGAAGCACAAACAATTAAAAAATATATTCAGCAAGACAATGTGGCTAGGTAATTTGTGAAAGCACCCCACCTCATTGTTGTCATACTTTGCCTTTTAATAAGCTTTGGGATTTAGCAAATGACTATCTGGGATTTTGAAATCCAGCTCCCCAATCCTCTCTTCAATGACTATTTCTTTATACTATTCAGTTTAAATTAATTCAATCCCATGCAGTACAGTATGTTCAAGTTCAAAAATCTCTTTTGCACCCAGTTCTGTGCTAGGTTCCACCAAGGACACAGTAGCCATATAGCTTTTGGGCCCCACCATATTTAAAGTCTGGACCATAAAGCCTAGAGTTGCATGTTTGAATCCGTAGTTACACGAAACAACTCACAATTTAGCGCTAGACTTTATGGCCTAGACTTTATATATGATGGTAATTTGGTGGTTTAAGTAGCTAAAGATAATATCATAGAGTAGGTGGGAATTGAGTTAAGTCTTAAAAAGATAGGGAAGATTTAAACAAAGGAGAGACAAAGTTAGTCAAAGTAGAGTAAACAGGGCATGAAAAGATGCAAACAACTTTTGTCAGGGAGTAGGAGAGTCGTGCTTGGTTAGGGGAGAGGCAGTGTGTTGAGGTGGAAGGAAATGGAGACTCCTTGGCTTTGCTATGTATCAGTGCATGGGCTTCCTGTTCAGTCATTTGATTTTTGGTGGGTCCAAGTCCCCTCCAGCTATAAAATGGGGCTAATAATTCTTGTTTCACAGGATTGTTGTGAGCATTGAGTGAGTTAATATATAGGATAGTGTCCACTGCAGGAGTCTCGATAGATACTTGCTCTTTTGTTCATTCTTGGGCTTGAATGTCAGGCTAAGGATGTCGAATTGTGTCCCATAAGCCAGTTAGTCTATTGATGGGTTTTGGGCAGGAGCATGGCATGGGAAAGGAATCTTTTAAGAATGTTAGTCTAGAAGTGGGTTGGAAGGCATCTGAGAATGCATTAGAGGGAGCGAACAGGAGCATGTAGAAAAGTGACATGGCGGCTGGGCTCGGTGGCTCAGCCCGTAATCCCAGCACTTTGGGAGGCCAAGGCGAGTGAATTGCCTGAGCCCGCAGGTTCGAGACCCAGCCAAGCTACTTGGTGAGACCTCGTCTCTACATTAAATCAAAAATTAGCCGGATGTGGTAGCACACACCTGTAGTTCCGGCTACTTGGAAGGCTGAGGCGGAAAGATCGCCTAAACCCAAAAGGTGGAGGCTGTGGTGACCATAAGTGTGCCACTGCACTGCAGCCTGGGCGAGAGTGACACTCCAACTCAAAAAAAAAAAAAGAGAAAGAAAAGTGACATGGCTACCCTCTGCTAACAACCCAAACTGTAACTAACCTTCCTCCATCAGCTGTCATGTGAAAATGCTTCCAATTAAAAGTTTAGAGTAAGAGATTCTACAACTTTTGGCAAAGAAAACAATGTCTTCGCCACTGAAGCCAGGGGACAGGAAAAAGTGTTTTCCTCTAAAAGTGATGAGCTCTCACTTCCATTTGCTGGGTGGTTGTGCTCTTTTGGCTATCTGACTGTTGCCAGCTGGCACCATTTCATTTTCTGTTACTGTATTATAAGAGCGCATGCTCAGTCACAGAGTAGAAGGCAGTGTTGAAAGGGATTGTCTAAAACAATTTTCAGAACTGGGGCCAAACGGTTGCAAGTATGCCAGGGCTTGTGGCCAAGGCAATTACTAAGGAGAGCCAAGATGAGAGCATTGCACAGGGGACCCCAATTTACCTTGAAGAATGTACTAGTTGCTTTCAGCTGCAACAGCTCTAAGTGGTCAGTGCCCAGGCTGAGGGGGACCCTCAACTTCCTCATGCTTGCTGTAAGTCTCAGCTGACTTCAGGCAGAGTGTGTGGTAAGATCTGGGGCATAAAGTTTCTGACTCCTTGAATTGCTACTTTGGACCAAATTCTGACTCCACAGAGAAATTGATTGGCAGGAAGAGGTGGGCCCCTTAGGAGACAGAGACCAAGTGGTAGCCTGGCAGAGACACACGCAGCATAGACAGATCGCTCTGTAGACTTAGAGAGAGTCAGTATTGAAATGTTCAGAAAACAAAAGGTGTAATTCCACGGCATGAGTTTCTGGAAGATGAAAATATCTCAAGAAGATGAAAATGCTCGGTCACAGAATTGAAAATGTAATTCTAACTGGATGGCAGCAAAAATGAGTTGTAAAAAATGTAGAAGGAGGGCCAGGTAATTCAAAAGCTCATGTCGGTTGGGCTTGGTGGTTCAGCCTGTAATCCCGGCACTTTGGGAGGCTGAGGTGAGTGGATTTCCTGAGCCCGCGGGTTCAGGAACAACCCAGGCAACTTGGCGAGACCTCATCTCTACAATAAATAAAAAATTAGCCAGGCGTGGTAGCGCGTGCCTGTAGTTCCAGTTCCAGCTACTTGGAAGGCTGAGGCAGAAGGATCTCCAGAGCCCAGGGGATCAATGCTGGGGTGGCTGTGAGTGTGCCACTGCACTCCAGCCTGGGCAATGGAGTGAGACTCCAACTCAAAAAAAAAAAAAAAGCTAATGTCATTTTCCCAGGAAGCTCAGATGAGAGTAATTAAACAAAATGTGGAAAGGCAGTCTCATGACCAAAGATGGAGTATTTAAAATGTGCCAGAGAAAGTCTTGGCCCCCAGATGAGCTCAGGCTTGCCACACACATATACAATAACAACCACAACAACAAAGAACAAAAGGGTTAAAGTGAAAAGTGAGTGGAGCTGTGTGTGTGTGCGTGTGTGTGTTCTCTGTTATAGAAAAGTCAGACCTGGTTGGTGGAATGTTGATAGATGACATGAGAAAAATGGAATGACTCCACAACTATTTTTCTCCAGTCTCTTCTGCCTGGAAATTATACTTAGATGGAAACAAGTAGAATAGACATTACTAAAATGAGACTGACACCCAAGGAGGAGGTACAGAGGAGTCCCATTTTTTCTGATATAATTTTTTTTTTGAGTTGGAATCTCACTCTTGCCCAGGCTGGAGTGCAGTGGCACACTCACGGCCACTGCAGCCTCCACCTGCTGGGTTTAGGCAATCCTTCCGCCTCAACCTTCCAAGTAGCTGGAACTACAGACACACGCCACCACGCCTGGCTATTCTGATGGAATTTTAAAAATTTCATCCAGAGCATTTACATTCTAGGTCCTGAGAGATCAACGAGAATCCTGGTAAAATCTTAGAGAAAGAGACAAAGAGCTGGAAAACTATAAATGAGCAAGAATTGTTTGTTTTCAAATAGAGAAATATGTTTTACAAACTAGGCCAGGGAGACTGCAAGCATTAAAAAGCAAAAGTTGAAGAGACTGAGAAAGGAGTTTTAGAAAGAGCAAAAAGAAGGCTGAGGGAGGCAGGAATGGCGGGTGTAGACCCAAGAAGGGAGGGCTATCAAGAAGGGAAGGAGACCAGTGTCACGTTCTACAGAAAAGTTGAATAAATGGTGGCTCAACAGAGGACTTTAGATTTGGCAACAAGGACTGAGAACCAGCTGCACAACACCGCTCCCAGGGCTGGCCCCAAGAGGTCACTTCTGGGGTGAAGAGCTTCTGGTGACGGCTGTGGTGGGTTGACTGCAGTCATGGCATCGTTTAATTTACACCTTTCTGTATCCCTTCTACACTGTGCTTGGTCATGTGCATTGCTTTAGCCATAGGACAGTTGTAAATGTGATGTAAACAGAGATTTGAGAATACTTGTGGATTGAATCTTACTCTCTTGCAACCTTTTGGATGGGTCTGCTGGAGGATGAGAGACCACGTGGAGCAGAAACAAACCATACAGTGAGCCATCTTCGATTAGTCAGCCCCAGCTGACCCAGCAGCCAGGTGCGATCAGTTAAGTCTGACCCATATCAGCAGATGATCCACCTGAGCTCTGCCCAAATTCTTTTTTTTTTTTGAGAGTCTCACTCACTCTGTTGCCCAGGCTGGAGTGCAGTGGTATAATCATGGTCATCGCAGCCTCAATCTGGGGGGTTCAGGTAATCCTTCCACTTCAGCCTTCCAAGTAGCTGGAACGATAGTTGCGCGCCACAATGCCTGGCTAATTTTTTTATTTATTGTAGAGATGAAGTCTTGCCAAGTTGCCCAGACTGGTCTTCAACCCCTGGACTCAGGCAATCCTCTCACCTCTGCCTCCCAAAGTGCTGGGATTACAGGCATGCACCACCGTGCCTGGCCCAAATTCTGACCCATTTCGGGGTTGCAATAAACAAAGGGTGGTTGCTTTAGGCCACTGCTGTTTTAGGGTGGTTTGTAGCACTGCAAACACGAGTTGTTACAGTTATACTGTGGGTTTGTGTGTCAGCCTAAAGAGGGAAATAGTACAGGTAGAACTACCATCATTTGGAAAACTGTAACTTGGTGTAAAGCCCTCTCCTTTCTCCTTTCTTTATCTTTCCCAGTCTAGTCACTTATACCGTCTAAGAGAGGAACAAACTGGTCAGTTTGATAACTTGGGAGGAGGCTGGAAGGGAGCAGAGGGAAAGTGAGAAAGGGAAGGGAGGAAGAATGGATGGATTCAAAGAAAATGTGGAGATAGCCATCAATTCAATAGCGCAGTGATTGCCCCCTTTCTCACATATCATGGAAAGGCTTACAAAAAGGCAGGTAGGTCTTCAGGTAAACTTTAAGTAAAATTATTTAATACTTACTAGTATAGCTTTCAATGTCTCCTGAGTTACCAATTTTCTTATTAATTTTTTGAGACACAGTCTGCTCAGTTTCAACTGTATCTTGTACCAGAATGGTTACTAGTTTTGCATTAACGATCTTCTCATCAGCACGCATTTCAGATCTTGCTGATACGCTAAAAACAAAATGAATCTGTCACTTGACGGATTGAACTGAAGGATGAACAAACAGGTCTTCTAACCTCCTAGACTCCCACATCTCCCACCCTGCTCCTGACCCACTGTCCTGTCTCCACAGTTGGGGCCCACATATGGAAACCTGGGGCGGCAAAAAAGGGTAATGGTGTCTCTATTTGATGTGTGCTCAGAGGAAACCTATGGCAAAAATAATGTCCCATTAGAAGACATGTAGGAAAATTGTGGATAATCACCGTTAGGATGTAGCATCCTGGAGCTAACTAGAAGTAGAACAAGTAACATCTGAAATAGTAAGTTGTCACTCTGGTAGGACAACCAGAGCAGGCATCGCTGGGCTGTTGACTCTCAGACTTGTTCTTTGCGAGAGACAGAGGGGTATGTGTTTGTCCCCAGGCACAGAACCATAGCCAACTATATAGAACCTGGGTCACTCCCAGAAAGGGCCAGGAAGTCAGCAGGAAGCTTCACAGCAGGGACGTGATGGGGCCTGGACACACAACCCAGAGGAGAGCAAACAAATAGGAATGGGGTTGTGGGAAACATGGGCGTGTAATACCAAATCACGTCATGAAAGACTGAGTGTCTGCCACAAGCTAGATGTTGTAACAGTCTCTCCCTCTCTCATCAGCACTGTAGTTTGAAGCCCAAAGTACAGCTGTGCTAAGTTCTAATTATTTCATTATCCAAAGGAGTTAAGTGAGACTAGGGAGGAAAAAGGACTTTATGCTATTTTATTTTTTGAATTGGAGCCTCACTCTTTCCCCCAGGTTGGAGTGTAGTGGCATGCTCACGGCCACTGCAGCCTCAAACTGCTGGTCTCAGGCGATCCTTCCGCCTTAGCCTTCCAAGTAGCTAGAACTATTAGCCACCATGCCTGGCTAATTTTTTGGTTTATTGTAGAGATGAGGTCTCACCAATTTGCCCAAGCTGGTCTTAAACCCCTGGACTCAGGCAATCCTCTAGCCTCAGCCTCCCAAAGTGCTGGAATTACAGGCTACTGTGCCCGGCCCCTGAAAAAGGACTTTAAAAAACTTCTTCCCAACCTGGCACGATGGCTCATACCTATAATCCCAGCACTTTGAGAGATCAAGGCGGTAGGATTGCTTGAGTTTGGGTTTGAGACCAGCCTGGACAATAAAGCAAGACCTTGTCTCTACAAAAAGCAAAAAAAATAGCACACACTATAGTCCCAGCTACTCAAAAGGTTGAGGCTGAGCCAGGAGGTCGAGGCTGCAGTGAGTTGTGATTATGCCACTGCACTCCTGCCTGAACGACAGAATGAGACTAGGACTCAAAATAATAACAATACTAATAAATAAAAATAAACTTCCTCCCTATCTGATTTGTGGCTCTGTGCTTTTAAGCCTCAAGACACATTTTTACTAATTTTTACCTATACTCCATTTTGACTTTTAAATAAATACAGAAGCCTGAAAACACAGTCAACCTATTTAGGAAATGTTCACAGCCAGGCTGGGTCCTCAAAGCAATCAGGAAAATCCAAAACATGAACCAAATTCCATTCTTAGGCACAATCAACCTCAAAAGGGAATCCAAAAAATGAAATGGGCTTCAGCATTTCAACTCCATGTTTTCTGTTATAATCCATTCATTATAGGATTGTGGGGGGAGGTGGTAAGAATGGTGTACTTGGTACAAGTTATTCTTTGTTGGGTAAAATCTATGGCATAGTTTTGCCCTGGGCTAGGAAAGAAAATGCCATCCATAATTCATTAATTCAAAGAACCTACTAGATTATACTCTAATTCAGGAGGCAAAACAGTTAAAAGAAACAATGGCCGGGCTCGGTGGCGCAGCCTGTAATCCCGCACCTTGGGAGGCCGAGGTGAGTGGATTGCCTGTGCCCGCGGGTTCAAGACCCGTCTGGGCAACTTGGTGAGACCTCATCTCTACAATAAATCAAAAAATTAGCTGGGCATGGTAGTGTGCACCTGTAGTTCCAGCTACTTGGAAGGCTGAGGGGGAAGGATCACTGGAGCCCAGCAGGTTGAGGCTGTGGTGGCCAGGAGTGGCCAATGCACTCCAGTCTGGGTGACATAGTGAGACTCCAACTCAAAAAAAAAAAAAAAGAAAGAAACAGTGGAGACATTGTGTACTTGAGTATAAACAACTAAAGCACTAGACTTGAGGTTAAGACACAAGGGCCAGATCCAAGCTTGCCACTCACTTATCTTTTGTGACCCAAGACCAGTCGTAGTGCCTCTGAGCCTAAGATTTCCCCTCTGTCAAAAGAGAGAAATTCTAAGGATCCCTCCAATTTCAGCATTTTTACGGTAGGTGAAGAGCTTGGGGACTCAGAGGAGAGAAATAATTTTCCCAGAAATGCCTTCGTAGGTGAGACCCAGTGTCACTCGCCCTCAGTGGACCCCCATGGTGGGGGAGTAGTTTCCCTCCATGACCTTGAGCTTCCAGGTGAAGGCTTGCCTCCAAACACCCTTGGCTCCCTTTTAGTAACTCCTTAAGAATAAAAGTACTGCTGCAGTTTGGGGGATCCCCCAACTGACTTTGTGGGACTGTCACTCCATCACCCTACAAGGAAGTCCCATGTTCTGGAAAGGAAACAAACCGGTGTTGAAATCAACTACAAGCCAAGCACTGGATACAGGAAATCTTCCAAACTTTAGCTCAGTTACTCTTCACAAGGTTCCAAGGAGGTTGATCAGATTATCCCAAAACACACAGATGCAGTAAACAAAGGTTCAGATGTTAGAACCCCTGCCTGGTCACATGGGGAGAGACTGCCAAGGCTGGGATTCCAGCAATGGTTTGGCTAACTCCATCACAACCTCACCATTCCTGCTTTTATCCAGTCATTCCCTACACACAAACCGGTTGTTATGCGGCAAACCAAACACAATCCCAGAAACCATTCAATGTATGCCGCCAGCTGAAAAATCTCTGCATTTGGGCCTAGACTCTGCTTGCTGCCAGCCCCTTCACCATGTGAATAAACCATGCACCTTGACTGCCAGGCAGACTTGCCCCTCATTCAAGACCAAGCTTGAAGCTCAGCCCTTTTAAGAGGCCTTCTCTGAAACTACACACACATGCGTACGAATATATATACACTTTAACTTATTCCACAAAAGATTTGACATATATCCTTATAAGGATGAACACAATAGTAAAACTTGTAACATATATATATACAGCATTACTGCATCGGCTTTCCACTTCACTCTTCATCTTAGAGCATTCTTTCCTCAGCCCGAGTACTCGTGTGTTAATATGTTTCAGAGAAGGCTGAGATGGAATTGCTTACTTCTTGAAACTCTTCTGCCTCTGTTTCTCTAAATAGCACCAGCTCTTGCATGGCACACTGAAGCATTCAATAAATGCTTGTTTGTTTTTTTTTGTTTTTGAGTTGGAGCCTCACTCTGTTGCCCAGGCTGGAGTACAGTGGCACGCTTACAGTCACTGCAGCCTCGACCTGCTGGGCTCAGGTAAACCTTCTACCTAAGCCTTTCAAGTAGGTGAAAGCATCACCATGCCCAGCTAATTTTTTTTTTTTTTTTTTAGGTCTCGCCAAGTTGCCCAGGCTAGTCTCGAACCCCTGGGCTCAGGCAATCCTCTTGCTTCTGCCTCCCAAAGTTCTGGGATTACAGGTATGAGCCACCGCACCTGGCTAATGCTTGTTTTTACTGAAGAAAGAGGTCACCACTGGCCCTTAGGTAGTCAGACACGTGCTTTGGCTCTGGCTCCCCCTGTGTGAGGGAAGAGATACTCATAGCCATTCACCTTCCCCATGGCCCTTTGGAATGCACATTCCAGGGGTTGGCTAGGTGTGGTTTGCAGCCAAGGGATCAAACCAAACAAATGGGTCCAGATGTGCACAAGTTGCTGAGAAGCCTATCACAGACAGCATCTTGCCTTCCCCAGGCCACGCCCCGTCCACCCAGGCCAGAGTAGGAGCGATAGCAGAGGCAGGGGAAGGCACAAAGTCCCCTCTGTAGTGCCCAGATGGGCCACCTTCTCCTGACTTGTGACTTCCCCCAGAGGGCCTTAGTGTTACATGGGGACCTCGAGAGAAGCCCAGAAGCTAGGACAAACACACCTCCTCCAAAGTCCCCCATCAGTCCATAGCAAACTCACCTTATTTCCTGAATCACAGTCTGTCCATAAACCGATATGTTAAACACCCCCATAAACTGTGGAGGAGAACAGATTTAATAACCAGTACAATATAAATAAATTTTAAAACGTTATATTCTATCTAGGATTTAACATACATTTCTCAACTCATAAATAGACATGGCTCACCACAACAAATGATTTATTCTTCACATGCATGCTAGTACTTTTCAGTGATGATTGCTGAGAAATAGTAAGCCTGATGGAAATCAGAGTTATCCAGCAAGGATAGAAATCTAAAATAATCAGCCAAATCAATGATCACACTCTTAAAAACAAGGTGATTAACTTACTAAGTTTGTCTCAAGTTTTGCATGTCATTCGTCTTATCTATGTGTGTGTGTCTCATGCCATCATCAATGTACTCAAGGAACATCTATGAGAGGGGACCCAAAAAAACCTGGAATTATGTTTTGGCAGGTGGGCCCCCTGTAGTACAGGCTTCCCCCATTAGGGAAGTGTTCTAAGAACCCGTCAGCATCAGTGTACCAGCTAGTGTTGTTACGAGAGGCTGCTTTCAGCTTCAGTTATTTTTTATTTATTTTTGAGATTCTTTTAGTGTGTTTGCCCACTTCGTAATGGGTTATTTATGAACACATCTGCCCACATCATGCTGAGTGTTCAGCAGGTTTGTTTTTGTTTTTTTTTAAAGTTGAGAAAGCAGGATTTATTGAGAGGACAGAAAAGCTTCCAGAGTGGGAGGGAACCTGAGGGGGTTGCCCATTCAGCAGTTTTTGATCAAAACTGGCATGAGCCCTGTGCCCCACCCTTCCTATTCACCCAATCTATCCCTGAGTGACTTTCTTTTCCCCCCAGGGATGTAAAATGTCCTCAGAAGGAACCATTTTCTGATATGGAAGAGGTGAAACCAAAAATGGCAGAAGCACTAAAAGGCATAAAAATTGACAAGTTCAAAAACTGTTTTGATCAGTGGAAAAAGCATCTCGAGAGGTGTATTGCATCAAACGGAGAGTACTTTGAAGGTGACTGAAGTTTAAACATGGAAGAATAAATACACCGTTTTTTATAAATTCCTTTTTTGAGGGGTCCCCTCTCGTATGTCACCGCCTACCTTACCCAAGGTATTCTGCTAGGGGACTTACAGACTACGAAGATGGGCAGACCCAGTCCTGTGGTCAAGTAGGGGAGACCACCCACGATGTTGGGAGAGGTACGTGCCATAGACAGATAGGAGCTACCAGAAGAGTTCAGAGAAACTCTCCTTCAGTTGCAGAGAACCAGAGAGGGCTTCATAAAGGACACAGGCCTGAAAGATTTTCAGCAGTCAAACCAGGACAGTGAGTGGAAGGAGGCAGAGCACACACTAAAGCTCAGAGGTGATGTGGCTCAGGAAGGGGGAAACTAAATTGGGAAGAACGCCTCAAGTCATGTCCCCCCATCGCCCCCACCCCTCCCCACCACTTAGCACAGGGCAGTCCCCAGAAAATATTCAACAAACACTGGTTGAATGACAACTGAGTGAATTACAAGTGAAAGATATGGTCATGACTTTGGACAGTCGCCTTCCTCTTCCACGTTTATTAAATAAGAGTGTTAAACTAGGTTGGTGCAACCTTTTCATAATCTATGGCCTTGTATCATTTTCCTCCCCATTGGGGCCCCACATTTGTTTTATTTTTATTTTTTGTAGAGATGGGGGCTCGCTGTATGGCCCAGACTGATCTTGAACTCCTAGGCTCAAGTGATCCTCCCACCTTGGCCTTCTAAGGTACTGGGATTACAAGTATGAGACACTACACCCAGCCATGGCCTCACATTTGAAAAGATTGTGGCAACTGACAGCCATCTTTAAAAAGATGTTACATTTAAATGAAAGAGAAATGTCTCTTGGACTCTAGTAAAATTTAAACAAAGCTGATGCCCTTGTTAGCCTGGTCAGCCTTATACCCAGGACATGTTCATATTTCTTTTTTTCTTTTCCAGGTTTTTCTTTTTTTCCTTTTCTTTCTTTTCTTTTTCTTTTTCTTTTGAGTCAGAGTCTCATTCCATTGCCCAGATTGGAGTACAGTGGCACGTTCACAGCCACCCCAGCATCGACCGGCTGGGTTCTGGTGATCCTTCTGCTTCAGCCTTCCAAGTAGCCGGAAGTACAGGAATGCACAATCACGCCCGGCTAATTTTTTGATTTATTGTAGAGACAAGGTCTTGCCAAGTTGCCCGGGCTGTTCTCAAACCCGCAGACTCACGCAATTCACTTGCCTTGGCCTCCCAAAGTGCTAGGATTACAGGCTGAGCCACCACGCCTGGCCTCTTTTCTTTTCTTTTTTTTTTCTTTCCTTCTTTCTCTCTCCCTCTCCCCAGATTTCACTCTTTTGCACAGGCTTTAGTGCAGTGGCATGATCCTGGCTCACTGCAGCCTCAAACCTCCTGAACTCCAAGTGATCTCCCGCCTCAGCCTCCCAGGTAGTTGGGACTATAGGCATGTGTCACCACACCTGGCTTATTCTTTTAAATTTTTTGTAGCGACAAGATCTCACTCTGTTGCCCAGGATGGTCTATATTTCTTTATAATCTTTTAAATATTAGGGATAGCTGGTATTTCTGCAAACCATTAAGGTTCAGAGATTCCACTTAGGAACAAATTTTCTAGATGTCACTTCCAGTTCACCTGCTGACCATTGTCCATATAGTTTTCTTAGTCCCAAAGAAGAAGTTGAGAAACTGGTATCTGGCATAGGAGAAAGTATTCCCTTTTCTTTTTTCCTTCCAGGTCACCCTTTGAGGATGTTGGGTAAACATCTCTTCATCTGAAGGGCTGCAAGATTGGACAAGAAGGCGGGAGCTACCCAAACAGGCCTGCCCAGCTTCCACTGCCTAAAGGAGCCAGCGGGTAAGAAGAAAAGAGAAGCAGCTCCATGGCCCTGCTGATATAGGTTCGTATTCAAACCTCCTCACTCAGCTGAGTGACCTCCAGTTACCTAACTTCCTGATCCTCAATTGCCTCATCTGTAAAAGGGGCTCAATAGCACTATCTCTCCTATAGGACTTTTTGAGAATCAGAAGTATTACACATAAAAATGCTAGACCCAGCACCCAACAGAGAAACTCCACATCCCTATGAGACTATGCAGCTGGGTAGGAAATCAACCCTGGGAGACTTCTTAGGAGCTGAGCTGGGACTGCCCCTACAAAGTCTGCTAAGTGTAAGTAAGAGTAAGTTGTCTCTGTTTTCCTAACTCTATTCCAGGGGTTGTAAAAGAGTTCTGGGATATTCCTTTCGGATTAAAACTCTCCCAGAAACTGTAAGAAGGATGCATCCCTTCACCGGTCACCCTGGAATATTAAGCCCTGACAGAGATCAAGTCTCTAAAGTGATCTCTGAAGACCAGGGCATAAGGACTGAAATGGAAGGGGCCTTTGGTGACATTCATATCCAAAGACAATTTTAGGGAATGTGGTAACCACGGCCACTGGTGCTCAGTAAAGCCACGTGGACATAGGGCCATGTTGATGCTGCCATCTTCAATGTGCTGAATACCATCCAAGCTGGCAAATGTGAATGAAGACCCAAGATGAGAGGACACAAGTCAGTGCCAGCCGGCCCACAATTCAGAACAGTGTGACAAAGGGACAGAGCAAACCCCGCAACACGGCAGCCACGGGTTCCATCCTAGCATTGCCAGGTACCGGCTGCATGGTCGGGAGTGCTAGCTTACTCTGTATCATCTGTAAAATCATTTCTGTAATACTTTTCAATGTCTTACCAGTCCTAATAATGAAACTCTTTGTCATGGCATAAATCCAAATGGAAAGATGTTGTCATAGAACAAAACTTTAGTTTTAAAAAATGTTTTTCTGCCCAGACTTCTAAGACGTATCTGAGGCTAATGTTTCTTCCTTTAAAAGCAAACTTTGAGAAACACTGACTAGATGCTCTCTTTGAGTTCTTCCTTCCAGACCTAACATCTGCGGTTTCAGAATGGGGTCATCCATTCTTTTCATGCTGACGTGCTTGCCCACAATAATTTAAATGACGTGAAACTATTAGTCATGCCAACATTTTTGACCATGGGGAAAAAAGGTAACAGATATTCAGATGTAGTTCCTCTTCTAGACATTAAAAAAAAAAAGTCTGACTAGCATGGAAATTTATGCAAATTTGACATATAAAAAAAGGAAAAACAGTATATTTTAATATTTGTCTCATTCTATGAAAATAGTTTATTTCAAAACATCACTATATGTATCTGTCCATTTAAAACTGTTATTAGCTATATAACAATGAGCATGGCATGACTGGAGCGAGCTTCTACAGGCCCTCTGCCATACCAGTTGCTCTGCCTCTAAGTGCAAAACCACGAGGAGGCCCAAGGGTCCCAAGGAAGGGTCCTGGGCAATGAAGAGGTAGTGACTCCCAGGTGCTCAGGGGAGCACAGTTTACAATCAGTAAGGATGCATTTCACTATTTGAACAACTGTACCAGTATGAGCTACCTGAAGACCAGCTCTACAGTCCGCAACTCAGTGTTAGAACAAAGAATACTTATACAGAAGGGGAAAGTTACAAGATACTTACAAAGTCAATAATTTTATTATGGAACTCTTGATAGGCCATAGAATTTTTATCTGTCAAGATAAATATATCTGGTACTTGCACGCCAAGCGTTCCAGGGAATATCTTTCCTGAAAGTTAAGAAGAATCTTTTTGAACCATTTGATGTAAAGAGGGTCATTTCCATTTGGTCTTAAATCATAGATTATTTTTTGGAAGTCTCAATATTATATGAGGACACTACAGGCAGTCTGGAAAATAATCCCACTCAACCTAACACAACCATTTTCATTTTCGTATATTTCTACCAGCAATTTCTTCCCGTGCACAGTTTACATCATTGTAATTCCAAGTGTCTCTTTTTACTTATTATTACATAATAAGTATTTTTCTGAATCATTGCTTAGTCTTCATAGCCATCATTTTTAAGGGTTGAATAATTGTCTCTGAAGTATATGTCTCTCTCATTGATGTAGTCACTTTTTGTTATCCAATAACTTAGTGTTTTTACTTATTTAAAAGGAAAAGAAAGAGGTTACAAAGAAAGAGATTACACCTTCATGAATAAACCCTTTTTCTACATTTGTGGTCATTTGCTTAGAGTACCTCCCCAGAAATTAGATTATTAGTACTAAATCTAAGCACTGTGGGGGCTTTTGGTCTATTCTTAGCCCCTGTGGGCAATACAGTGCATTAGTCTCCTATGCAATTGGTCTGCTCTGGCAAGGGAGGATAGTTCTTACTCATTAAAAAAAAAAAAAAAAAAAATTAAAACTCAAGCAGTCAGACAGGCCTTGGACTTTCATTGCACCCAGGTGATCTCGTCAAAAGAAAAGGAAGCTTGGGCCTGACTGTGTGGCTTTAGACCTGTCACCTACTCTGCCTCAGCATCCCCGCTTTTCTCTCCTGGCCTTGGTTGCCTCCAGGTTGCCTTCTACCTCTAGCATTCTGGAATTTCTTTTTATCATCATGTTGAGTTTCCTACTCCACTTTTGGTATGAGAGACAGTGCTCTGCCATGGTTCATCGTGTGTAACTCACCTTTTATACACTTAGAAGAATTATAATAATATCCTTCTAAACACAGGCAAAAATATGTGTTATTCAGATTGACACATGACGAATGATCTTTACAGGAATCAGGCTGGCAAGGAGCGGGGGAACCTTAGAGAAAGTAGAAGAAGTTTAGACATGACAACAGGTAACACCTGGAACCACATTTTCAATCTTCCTGCCTCCCCCTTGAGCACTTTCCATTCCTGGGTTGTGTTATTCTACAACACACCCTCAGGAGAGCTGGAAACAAATATCTGCTTTCTTATGTGTCTAGGCCAGTGGTTGCTGAAATTCTGGAGCTGGGTGCTTGTCAACAGTGAAGGCCAGAGATTAGTGGACAAGGGCCTGCTCCAGAAAGAGATACAGCAGTCTTTTAATCCCAAGGAGTCAGGAATCTTCAGACCTCAAAGGCCCTCCAGAACTTTGATGCATGGTTCTCCAATGCTAGGTAGGGCTCCCCAAAATCATTCTAGATAAGACATCATCCTCTTAGAAAGATATGAATAACCATCTTGTAGGGAAAAGCAATCAAGAAGCTCCAAAAAGAAACAAGATGTCATACCTGGTAAGTATCCTTGGTATACTATCCATAAAAAAAGGACAGGGATAATAAAGGAAAGAATATGGATTAAGTCAGTGAAAAACCTAAGAGGAAGTGATGAGAGGACCCTCTAGCCTCTGGGTTTTTGAGCAGATGACTTGAATAAATGATGACAATAATACTGTAATGGCTTGCGCCCCAATGCCTGAGACTTCCCGGCCAGGCAGGGTGCAGCGTCTTTCTCTCTCTGGAAAACTATGGAATCTGAGGAGAGGAGCTAGGTGAGTGGCCAAACAGTAATCTTGGTGGGCCATTTTCTTCGCTTCTGTCAGGTGAAATGATCCTAAGCTTTGATTTCAGAATAGCAGTATTTGGCAAACTTCAGAGCTGTCTTGAGATCCTTCCAAACCTATACTGTAAAAACTGATTTTTTAAAAAGCTGTACATAAGGCACAATGTGTAAACCTCTCTTTTGTGAATAAAAAACGAGGAGGATACTACAAAGAAACATGTATGCTTGATTTGCATTGGTGATCCCTGAAGGGAGATACAAGAAATTAGCCACAGAAGTTGCCTCTGGGGAAGGAAACTGGGGGTCTGGGTCCCAGGGACTTAGAATAGAAGGAAGACTTAGTTTGAGCTGTTTTTTCCATAATCATGATCCTAATTTGCTCTTACTGAAAAATGAAAAATAAAATAATGTGGGTGAGGATGTAGAAAAACAGAAAGTCGAATTCTTTGGAGTAGGAATGCAAAAAGCACAGTCACTCTGAAAGACAGTTTGGCCGTTGCTTACAAAACAGAATATACTCCTATCAGAAGATCCAGGATTCACTCCCCTTGGCATTTACCCAAAGGAGTAAAAAATTATGGCCACACAAAACCCCGCATACAGATGTTCATAGCAGCTTTGTTCATGAGTGCCAAAACCTGGAAGCAACCAAGACATGGTTCAGTAGGTGAACGGAAGAACAAACTGGCATATTTAGATGGCAGAATATTATTAAATACTAAAAAAAAAGAAAAAGAAAAAAGAGCAATTAAGTCAAAAAAAGACACAGAGGAAGAACATACTACGAAGTGAAAGAAGTGCCTCTCAAAAGTATGATTCCTACTACGTGACACTCTGAAAAAGGCTAAACTATGGAGACTAAAAGGGTCAGTGGTTGCCAGGGGTTAGGGGAGAGGAAAGGATGTGTAGACAGAACACAGAGCGTTTTTAGGGTCATGACCCTGTTAATAGTGGGTGTATGTCATATGTTTGTCCAATCCTGTAACATTTACAACAACAAGCATAAACTCTAATATAAATGGGTCTTTTAAGTGACAATGATGTGTCACTGTAGTTTTGTCAGTTGTCAAAAATGCACCACTCTGGTGGGTGATGCTGACAATGCATGCGTGGGGGCAGGGAGTAAATGAGAAACCTACCTGCCTCTCAGTTTTGCTGTGGATCTAAAACTGCTCTAGAAATAAAGTCTATTACATTTTTTTAAAAGAGAAAAACAGACTATATTAGACAAAAAGAGGCATAGTGCCATATCTTATAAACTACAGTAAGGGTCACCCCTCTGACAAGGTGTGAGCTGATCTTTTAAGGAAAGTAAATGACATTTTTAAAAAGTTTTAACCATGGCCGGGCTCAGCCTGTAATCCCCGTACTTGGGAAGGCCAAGGCAAGTGGATTGCCTGAGCCCGCGGGTTCGAGACCCACCCGGACAACTTGATGAGACCTCATCTCTACAATAATTAAAAAAAAAAAAAAATTAGCCAGGCGTGGTAGCACGCGCCTGTAATTCCGGCTACTTGGAAGGCTGAGGCAGAAGGATTGCCAGAGCCCAGCGGGTTGAGGCTGCGGTGGCTGGGAGTATGCCACTGCACTCCAGTCTGGGTGACAGAGGGAGACTCCATCTCAAAAAAAAATTTTTTTTAACCATATCACAAGGAGGATTTGGAAAATCTTAGGAAAGAAAATGAATGCATCTCCTCTCTGGAGACACCCACCAAATAACTCTCGGTGTGCTTTCTCTTTAGCAATGAAGGCAGATTTGTTAACTTGTTCTGTGGCCAGGAATTGATTAAGTCACAGGATGTTACAGCTGGAAAGGATTTGGGCGGTTCAGTCACATCTTATTGCAGATGAGTGAGCTGACGCCAAGAGAGAACTGATTTGCCCCATGTCTCATGGCTAGCGCAGGAACCAGAACCAGGAAGACTGCCTTACTCTGAGAGAATGTCTGGAGAAGCAGAAATTGCTTAGAAAAGCCCCCTTTCCTGATTCAGTAGAGCTGATTGTGTAGCTGTCCCATTTGACCTCTCCTTCAGAGTGGCCCCTCCAAACAGGAAAGAGGATTGTGGAGTGGGATCTTAGATGAAACCTCTAGCTGTATTTGCCTAGGCACTCATTTTCTTCGATCTATCAGAGAACATTGGGGAAGCTGTCAGAAGTAAGTATAAGAAAACATCGACTTGCTCTTTCACCTTGGGCAAGTCATTGCCCTTGTTGGGTCTCAATTTTCCAGTTTGAGAACGACAGGGTTTAACTATACTCTTTAGACTCTAACGTTTGAGGATTCTTCTGGACGAGGGTCTGGCAAACTATGGCTCAGGAATCATGTGATTCATCATCTGGTTTTGTAAATAAAGTTTTATTGGAGAAAATCCAGGTTCATTCATTGATATATTTGCTACAGCTACTTTCAAGCTAAAATAGCAAAGTGCAGTAGTTGCCGCAAAGACTCTTCGTGGTCTACAAATCCGTCCAGCCTTTATTGATGAAGTGTCATGACCCCTGTTCTAGACCAAGCGTGGGGACACGAACCAAATGGTTTCTGTTCCAATAACTTTGGCTTGAGGTCACTCATCAACTCTTAGACAGTGGACCCAAAACACCTGTCCTTTGAATGATAACCCTGTCATGCCTAGGACTATTTGAGGACTGCTATTGTTTGACTTCCTAGCCCTCAAGTTCCAATTCCATGACTTGGCTCAAATTCAGATTGTGATCAGCTATCAATTTACCTTGAGAGTAAAACTAACTTCTTCCTTGCCTGAGTAGGGTGGCTCAAGCCTGTAATCCCAGCACTTTGGGAGGTTGAGGCGAGAGGATTGCCTGAGCTCAGGGATTCGAGACAAGCCTAACTTGGCGAGACCTTGTCCCTACAATAAGTCAAAAATATTAGCTAGGCATGGTAGCATGCACCTGTAGTTCTGGCTACTTGGAAAACTGAGGCAGAAGGGTCACCGGAGCCCAGCAGGTTGAGTCTGCAGGGGCCGTGAGCATGCCACTGCACTCCAGCCTGGGCAACACAGTGAGACTCCGACTAAAAAAAAAAAAACAACAAAAAAATGAACTTCTTCCTTAGGTAGACCAGGGAGGTAACCCAGGAGGGCTAGAGGGTTAGTGCTTGTTTAGACCTATCTTCTCAAAGAAGCTGGAGCTATTTCCAAAAAAACCCCGCGATAAGAGAGCTATAGAGGGAGCTTTGGCAAAGTTAAGTTCATAAAACAATGCTGCACATCTAGCAAATAGCTTGAGGTAGGATGCGTAGGAAGAAAAGAGAACTGAAGGAGCTGAGGGTAATCTTTGACAGTCTCTGACGTCACTACTAGCCTTTGCGACTCAGATTGTTAGACCCACGGTTCACATCCAAGGACACCTTGGGCCACTCTGTATCTACTTTCCTACCCCCCATAACACGCTCACCTACCACCCTCCACTAAGTTATGCTCCCTTAATGAGGAGTCTTTGAGGGACTCATTCTTACCTATGGAGGGAGTGCTCGTGTCTGAAGGGGTACTGTTGTTGGGAGGCAGTGGTGACAGAGGTCCGGGATTAGTCCCTGAGGAACTGTCGTCTGTGACTGGGGACATTTCACTTTGCGTTTTGGTAGAAACATCATTTGTAGATGAAGGGATGGTGGAAAATGCAGTTAATGAATTTGCATCTGTGGTGGATTCACTTTCTGTAGGAGTAGATGTGGGATTTTTGGAGGAATGAGCTGAGTTAGCTGTGGGGGAATCAGCTGAGTTAGCTGTGGGGGAAGCAGGCGGAGTAGATGCTGGGAGAGGTGTAGCGGGACTATTTTTGGCAGTTGATGGGGGGGAATCACTTGCAGCATCTGTGGGTGTAGAGCCAGGTTGGGTGCTTTGGCTGGTGGCTGGAGGAACAAACCAAATTTCAGAAGTCAGCACGTTGAGTAAACAATGGCATACCACATTAATTAGTACCCACCTCATTTTTTCCTGCAAAAATGAATATATATGACTACATTCAAAATGAAAATACACGACTATTTCTAAACATAAAGAAAACTCACACTAAATAAAAATCAAATAGCTAAAACTGGAAACACATTATTGAAAAATATGACACATAGTTAATATTTATTAAGATGAGTGCCATGAAGTAATATCATTTATGTCTTGTAGTTGTAGAATTGTCAATATGGGTTTCATATTTCTAAGATAGTTGGGCATGGTGACTCAATCTCAGCACTTGGGAGGCTGAGGCAGGTGGATCCCTGGAGGCCAGGAGTTCACGATCAACCTGGGCAACATAGCAAGATCCCCTCTCTACTTTTTTAAAAAAATTAGCCAGGTGTGGTGCACCTGTAGTCCTAGCTACTCAGGAGGGAGGCTGAGGCTGGAGGATTGCTTGAACACAGGAGTTTCAGGCTGCAGTGAGCAATGATTGTGCCACTGCACTCCAGACTGGGAGACAGAAGGAGACCCTGTCTCTAAATAAAATAAAATCCTCAGATGATCCTCAGTGAGGACAATCGGGGGTGCCACAAGGTGGCACTGTGACTACCCAGAAGTGGACTTTTTGTCTTTCTACACTTCAGGCAACTGCCGTTTTCCATTACATGGTGTTTTCTCTGTTGACAGATTGAGGGAGGGAAAGACTGAGAATGAGTCATTTTTAAAATGACGGAAAAAAGCCTTACTAAGTGCTTATTAAACTTCCTCCAAAATTTTTTCTAGTAGTGTTCACCCATGAACAATTCTAGACACGTGGACTTTCAAAAGTGTAAGGTGAAGAAATGATCTTTGCCCTATGGGCTGTGATTGTCATCAAAGCTGCATTTTTACAACTTTTAGAAACCCCTGGACACATGAAGTTGTAAACTCTTAGTGATCCAGTGACCTTTATTCTATAAACTTAAATTGTCTCTAAGAACTCTGACCCTGACAACAGGTTTAAAAGTATTTATTAAGCCGGGCTCGGTGGCTCAGCCTGTAATCCCAGCACTTTGGGAGGTTGAGGTGAGTGGATTGCCTGAGCCCGCGGGTTCAAGACCTGCGGGCAACTTGGCGAGACCTCGTCTCTACAATAAATCAGAAAATTAGCTGGGCGTGGTAGTGCGCGCCTGTAATTCCAGCTACTTGGGAGGCTGAGGCGGAAGGATTGCCGGAGCCCAGCAGGTCGAGGCTGCAGTGATCGGGAGCGGCCACTGTACTCCAGTCTGGGTGACAGAGTGAGACTCCAACTCAAAAAGAAAAGAAAAGAAAAGAAAAAATTTGGCCAGGTGTGGTGGCGCATGCTTGTAGTCCCAGTTCCTGGGGAGGTTGAGGGGGAAAGATGACCTGAGCCCAGAGGTTAAGGTTGTGGTAAGCTGCAATCGTGCCACTGCACTCCAGTCTAGGCAACAAAGGGAGACCTTGAGTCAAAAAAGAAAGAAAAGAAAAAGAAACAATTTTAGTGAGGAAGCAACTCCTCAACCCTGGAATACAGAGAATTGCTGAAGATGCTACCTGATTCTCCCATGGGTCTGTGAGCCCCTTGAGGGCAGAGTCTGGCTCTTCACCTTGAACAGGGTTTGGCTAACATAGTCATTCAGAAAGAGATCAGCTATTGGTCTTCTTGGGGCAAGAAAATAGGTCACCAGCTGGCAGTGCTGACTGCTACCACCCCTGTTCCTGCTACTACTCTCCTTTACCAAGTGCTTACCCTGCGCCCAACAGGGTAACAGAGAGGAGTGCCCACGCTCGAGAGGAAAGGCCACCAATACTCGGAGAGCTTAAGGGATTTGCCCAGAGGCAAAGCCAGTCTTGTGACATGCCAGTGTCTTAACTACCATTTGGTTAAGGAGTTGTAGGAGAGGCCATCTAGTTAATGAAAATGCCAAGAAGTCCCAGAGGAGCAAACACATAGAAAGAAAATTGAGAAAATCAGAGATTGGAATAAAAGCGTGGAAGTAGATGTGATTTCCGTGGTGTCCTCCATCAGTGGGGAAGCAGTGAGAATGGCCAGGGAAACTCTGGAGAGAAAAAAGGGGCTTGGCAGGCTGTGAGTGCAAATGGCCCTAACCCCAGCAGACCCTGAATGGCTTGCTTCAGAAATGTTCTTTCCCTGTTAGTGCTAAAAAACCAATGTGTTTCTGTAGAAAGCACAGAATGAATTGGGACTTCTTAAGAGGTTTTCTGCAGGTCTTTGGAATGATGCTATGGAGTTTTGGACTCAGTGTTTTATTTACTTTGGTTTCTTTCTTTCTTTTTTGACGAGATTTCAATTCAGAATACTCAATTCATTTTTTGTTTTGTTTTGTTGTTGTTGTTGTTGTTTTTGAGTTGGAGTCTCACTCTGTCACCCAGACTGGAGTGCAGTGGCCTCTCCCGGCCACCGCAGCCTCGATCTGCTGGGCTCCAGCGATCTTTCCGCCTCAGCCTTCCAAGTAGCTGGAATTACAGGTGCGCGCTGCCATGCCCAGCTAATTTTTTGATTTATTGTAGAGATGAGGTCTCGCCAAGTTGCCCAGGCGGGTCTTGAACCCGCAGGCTCAGGCAGTCCTCTCACCTCAGCCTCCCAAAGTGCTGAGATTACAGGCTGAGCCACCGAGCACGGCTTCAATTCATTTTTATAAAAGAGACATATCCCAAGCTGATAGCTATTCATTGCTGTGAATGACTTACAGTATGGTTTTTTTTTTAAACTAAAATATAGATATGTGTGTGTGCATATGTTTTATCTGAGGGTTGTACAGATGTCAGGGAGACAGTTTAGAGCTGACATCCCAGGCTTAAATTATCTGCTAAAAATACCCAAGAGGAATTGTAAAATAATCTACTCTGTTCAACGTATAGTTAATAGAACTATATTAAGGCATCTAAATGGTAACAATAGCTTTAATATTTTTATTTCCTCGGGTTCTAGAGCTTCTAAATGACACAACGGTCATAAAATGCCCATGAGGGGTACAAATCATAGGCTTACATGGAAAAAAAAAATATGCCCTGACCTGGCTGCTTTCTGGAGAACACTCCATAACTGCCACCCCTGTCCAGGGCACATCTGTAGCTGCTCAGTTCAAAGCTAGCTGAAAGTCACAGTAAAATGCCTTTCTTCCAGATCTAAATTTTTCACTTTTAGGTGATGTTGGTTTCCAAGGGTACCCATCAGATTCTGTGGAGTAAAGCAACCCTAACCTCTCAGAGAAAGCAAAGACAACTCGAAAGTTTTACCCATTAAAGGGAATTTGAAAGCTCCCTGCACATTTCTTGCATCAGTTTTGGTAAATCCTTAGGAAGGTGTTACGGCAGTCAAGGTGCCATGCATGGGGCCAGGGGGTTTAAGGCGTGTGGAGTGTACTTCCTGCCCTTGCTTGCTAAGAGTCTGAGATGAAACTCATTTTTGAAGTAATAATTCGTTATACATCCCTATACAATCCTTAACGTTTCATAGAAAAAGACACTGGTTTTTTTTCAAAGACAAACCTTGATAGCCATCAAACTGTCCTTGATAGTGTACCTGGGAGTAAGTTGTGAAAATGGGGGAAGGTGTGGGAAGGCTGACAATGCTCACTTTTTGTTTCATGCACATCTGTAGGGTTTGAATTTGTTTCAGTGGGTCTGCATGACTTGTATAATTTTTTTAAACAAAGAAGAGCAAAGCAAAACCAAAGTTTGAAAACTGGATTCAAGTGAGGACATGATCAAAAGTGTTCAGGGTAATCGTCTGTGGAACCCTTACTGTATACCAGGCAGAATTCCTGGCATGTCACACACTGTCATGTAATCGTTTCAGTCACGCTTCAGGATGGGAATTTTCCCTTTATTATTACACAGGGAGAAAGCGAGGGCAGAAACACTGCACACGCACAAGTGGTGCCATGTCATTTAAATCCCTGCCTGCCTCATTTCAAATTCTGTGTCCTTCCCTGTACTTTTCCAAGCTATTTGCCCCGTATCCTGCATTCCTGGTCCTAGAAATATCCTCCCCACTCCCCTAAGTCACCCTGAGACACAGTGATTTCTGATTTCCCGATTTCTGTCCATCTCTCCATCCCCTCCCATCCAAACTCCTCTCCCACTCCCTTTTTTTACTTCTGTCTTACAAAGGGAAGCCCTTTCTAATAGTGTCTCCTCAAAGTCAGACAAACCTTACCCATTCTTACTCAGTCCCAAAGGCAGGACTGTGACATTTGCCCCCAGGGCTGACAGGGGAAATCTGGTGATGACCGTCTTCCCTAGTCTTCCCTCTCAGGAACTTAACACCAGCTCTCAAAAAAGTCGGATCCAGACCCCACTCATTCCAGTTCTCTAAAATGGGTTTCCGTTCCTTCTCACACTTCTGTTCCTTTCTGCAAGAAGTTTCTAGATTTCAACTCATTAACCCTCACGTCTCAGGTGCATAGATGATCTTCCTCACACGCAGCCCACAGAACCCTTCCTAACTCAGAGCAGAAAGTACACATCTGTAATCTAATCAGCATGACAATTATCCTCTTGTTGTCAAGTATCCTCAAATTCAGTACATTTGCAAAAGGAATCTTTTTCTCTGATTATCATGGGAAGGGATCCAGACCACTATAGTAGGGCACCAGGCCCTTGGAACCTGCTAGGTGCTTTTGTTGTTGTTGTTGTTGTTTTGATCTGGAGTACAGTGGCACACAGCTACTGCAGCCTCGACCTACTGGACTCAGGCAGTCCTTCTGCCTCAGCCTTCCAAGTAGCTGGAACCACAGGCAACACCACCATGCCCAGTTAATTTTTTTATTTACTGTAGAGACGAGGTCCTGCCATGTTACCCAGACTGGTCCCGAATCTCTGGGCTCAGGCAATCCTCTTGCCTCTGCCTCCCAAAGTGCTGGGATTACAGGCATGAGCCACCATGCCCAGCTTACTAGGTGCTTCTTCCCTGGCCTCAGAAACTCATAGAGACAAACCTTGGGTTTGCTGAACCCCGAAGTCTTCGTCCATAAACTTCTTTCGCGACTGCCCTATCTTCCCAACATAGACCAAAATGCCTGTCTTTGAGCTGAGTTGAAGAGGAAACTTCATTTACAAAGGTGACTACAAGTTGGGCTGTGAGAATTTGTAGCTGTAAGCCTGCAGATTCTACTCAAAACAGCCACATGATTAGAAGAAGGAAAATTAGAAAAATGTTCCTTACCTGAGTTTACAAAAAGAAGAGCAAGAAGAGTGAGTTGAGGGAAGGCTTTCATTTTAGCTGTTCTTGCTTGGTAATCCAAAGAGGAAATGACTTCCCTCCCCAGTTACAATTAGTTTGAACTCTCTTTCAGGTACAAAGTCCAGTCATTAACTGACGTCAAACCAGCCAACGGCAATTATAGTTAGCATTGGGTCATATACCATAGGTCTATTCTGAGCTTTCGAGATAGAAGAGGTGAACTTGGCCTTACGGATTATTTTTTTGACTTAACATATAGAATAACTCAGGGCATTCTAAATATACTTTTGAGGTTGGGTTGGGAGAATTTGGTTAATCTCTTGATATCCCAAATGCCACCAAACTATCACCTTTTAGGAAGTTATCATTCCCTTAAACACTCAATAATATAGGCTCTATCCACCCCTATTTAAGTGCATGAAACCCAGTTTTTCTCCAGCTATAATTCTGAGCATCCCTGAAGGGGACTTGCATGTGTCCGTAAACTGTTGCTTGAGTTTTGTCACCTTAAGCTGTAAGACTACCACTCTGCGCCTCTCTGATGGTCACTTCCAGCAACTTCATAATCACATCTCCAAACTTCCGTGACCCTCTCCACATTTCACCATGCCTGAACACAATCCCTCAGTCACGATCCCAAACACAATTAGCATCAAATAAAGTGCAGAAAAGGGAAACACTTAAAATAGATGATCTTATCTCTTTGTTCCTGGTTATTCATTGACCTTGACTCCCACCTCTCAGTTCCCTTACTCACCCTCTTGTTCCTTAGCCCAGACCTCTCACCATGTTTCAGGAACAAGCTCTATAATTTGGATTAAGGTCTTCTTAATCCAGTTCTCTCTCCTTGAAGTCCAGGGCCCCAATCTTTCCACGTTCAGCCCCAGCCAGAGGAATAAAAACCAGTAAAAACCTTGTGAATTTGGGCCAGAGTTTTAACTCTGACCTTAATGAAAACCACTTTTATTTTTTGTAATATCCACTCAAGAATAAGATTGGGGTCAGCTCGGAGGAGGGAAAGATAACAACTCTTTTCGGTAGTCCCGAATCCTGGTTCATCCAACACCAGCTGCTTTTACTATGCCAACAAAGTTCAACACTAACGAGATCAGAATTCTGTACCTGAGATGCACCAGGAAGCAAGTCAGTGCCATGTTTGTGATGGCCCTTAATATTGGCCCCCTGGTTCTGTCTCCCAAAAGGTTGGTGATTACGTTGCAAAGGTAACCTGTAACTGAAAGGGTCTGAGGATTATAGTGAAATTGACCATTCAAGATAGATAGACCCAGACTGTGGTGGTACCTTCTGCCTCTGCCCTGATCATCAAAGAACCACCAAATGATCTCAAGGAAGCACCGAGAGAGAGAAACAGAAGAACATTAAATACACTGTAAATATCACTTTTGATGTGACTGTCAACATTGCCCAACAGATGTGGCACCGATCTTTAGCTAGAGAATTCTCTGGAACCATTAGAGAGATCCAGGGGACTTCTCAGTGTGTGGGCGGCAACGTTGATGGCCACCACCCTGATGATATCATAGATGACATCAACAGTGGTGCAGTGGAATGCCCAGCTAGCTAAGAAGCACACAGGAAATATTTCAATAAAGGGTCATTTGGCACTCAAGATAAAAAAAAAAAGAATAAGATTTGGAGTTTGTTCTCATGTAGCTGAGGTGCCCATTTAAATATTTGTCCAAAGCAAAGACACTTCTAAAGCCCCATCATGTTGTGCTGTGTTATTCTCAGCTCGAATGACCGCTGGCACCAGGATTTAAACAAAAGATCGATTTTTCTTTTAAAACTAACTTTATTGAGATGTAATTTACACAAATAAATTGTATCTATTTAAAGTGTACAATCCAATGAGTTCTGTTGATGTACAAGGAAGGCCCCCCCAAAACCTGGAATTATTTTTTGGAGGGGCCCCTTATAGTACTGTCTTCCCCCACTAGGTAAGAGTTCTAGGAACCCATCACATCAGTGTACCCACTAGCATTATGTGAGGCTGTGTTCAGCTTCAGTGAGTTTTTTGTGGAGATTCTTTCAACGCATTTGCCCATTTCATGACAGGTGATTTATGAGTGCACCTGCCTACAGCATGCCGAAAATGGCATGACCCCATGTCCCACCCTCCCTGTTCACTCGATCTCATCCCAAGCGACATTTTTTTTGTTTCCCCAGATGAAAAAAGTCCTCCAAAAGAAACGCTTTGCTGATGTCGAAGAGGTGAAACAAAAAACACAGAAACATCTAAAGGCATCAAAACTGACGAGTTCAAAACCTGTTTTGAGCAGTGGATAAAGCATCTTCACAGCTGTATTGCATCAAGTAGTACTTTGAAGGTGACTTGAAGTTTAAACATATAAGAATCAATGCACAATTTTTAGAAATAAATTCTGTCTTGGGGGGGTTCCTCTAATTTATATACATATGAGTGTGTGTGTATATAATATTTTCTCCCTTTCTGCCATTTTTACATGGCATTTTCAACCTACTGTATTCACTTTATAAAGGCCAAACCAGGAACCCAGGAAAACTGAAAAATGGTCTAAGATCACATAAGTAGGCCAGGTTTGGTGGCTCAGCCTCTAATCCCAGCACTTTGGGAGGCCAAGGCAAGTGGATTGCCTGAGCCCGTGGGTTCGAGACCAGCCCAGACAACTTGGTGAGACCTCGTCTCTACAATAAATAAAAAATTAGCCGGGCATGGTAGCACACGCCTGTAGTTCCAGCTACTTGGAAGCCTGAGGCAAAAGGATCACCAGAGCCCAGTAGGTCAACACTGAGGTGTCCATTAGTGTGCCACTGCACACCAGCCTGGGCAACATAGTGAGACTTCAACTCAAAAAACAAAAGGTCACATAAGTAGCTGCAGGATCTCACATGCAGAGTCTCCTAATCCAGGAAGAGCCTTCTGTGCCTTATCCTGTATTGGATTCACAATATCAGGGGAGTAGTGCCCACAGGGCTCTATCACCAATGTCTATCACTAACGCTATCATGTTACAACAGTGTCAATATTTACCATGGCTTTCTATGCCACTTCTCTGCCAAGCATAGAACGAAGAGTATGACCAGACAGGGATGGGGCACCGCCAAGCATCTGGCTTCCTGACTCTTCCCTTGCTTTATCTGGAAAAACATGGGCAGTAAGAAAGTCAGGCAGTCGTGAAGATATACGTCAGATATATGTCAGCAATAGCTCTTTCTTATGCCCCTTCCAGACTCGATCCACAGCAGACTTCGACCCTCCAGGATTACGGAGACAGGGTACACAGAGCTTTTCATCAAGGGGAGATTCTTCCTCCTCACTGCCGATATTTCCCTCTCTGTGGCATGAGCTCAGTTCCCACTGTGCTCCTGGCCTCTCAGCATGTCTTTATTCATTTTGACCTAAGTGAAGTGTAGTGAGTTATTTCAGACAAATAAACTGAGAATATTCACCTCACATCTGGCATTTTCCCTCTGGGGAAAGAACCTGGGTTCAGGACTATTGTACCTGAGAAGGTAAGGATTCAGTATCAGGAAGTGGAAGCCCTAAGCCACATTCTCCAAAATAAACTCCTTTTTTTTTTTTTTTTTTTTTTTTTTGAGTTGGCGTCTCACTCTGTCGCCCAGACTGGAGTGCAGTGGCTGCTCCCGGCCACCGCAGCCTCGACCTGCTGGGCTCTGGCGATCCTTCCGCCTCGGCCTTCCGAGTAGCCGGAATTACAGGTGCGTGCTACCACGCCCGGCTAATTTTTTGATTTTTTATTGTAGAGATAAGGTCTCGCCTGTCCAGGCGGATCTCGAACCTGTGGGCTCAGGCAATCCACTCACCTCAGCCTCCCAAAGGCGCGGGATTACAGGCTGAGCCACCGAGCCCGGCTAATAAACTCCTTTTAAAAGTAATATTTTGAGATCTAAAAATTGGCCTTCCATATGACCCTGGAATCCCCCTATTGAAAATATACCCAGAAGAACTCAAATCACGCTATGAAAAAGATACCTGCACGTGTATGTTTATCACACAGCATTGTTCACAATAGCAAGAACATGGAACCAACCGTGCTGCCCATCAAAAGAGGACTGGATTTTTTAAAATGTGGTACATATACATGATGGAATATTAGGTAGCCATAAACAAGGGCAAAATCATGAACTTCACGGCAACCTGGATGGACTTAGAGTCTATGATACTGAGTGATCTTTCACAGAAATAAATAACCGAGTATCACATGTTGTCACTCATAAGCGGACCTTGAACAATTATCGTAATACTATAAGAAAAGGATTGGCTAGCTGGGCATGGTGGCGCATGCCTATAGTTCCATTACTTGGAGGACTGAGGCGGAAGGATCGCCTGAGCCTAGCAGGTCGAGGCTGTGGTGGTTGTGAACCTGCTACTGCACTCTAGCCTGAGCGACAGAGTGAGACTCCAACTCAAAAAAAAAAAAGAAAAGAAAAGAAAAGAAAAGGATTGGCAGTAGAGGGAAACCGCTGGGAGGGGGGTAGGGAAGCAGGATTGGCAGTAGTGGGAATCTACCGAGGAGGGGGGCACATACTTGATCAACAAGGGTACCTGCATAATGAACATTTGTATACCTAACCCTGAATTGTATCCCATATCTTTAAAATAAAATTTTTTACAGTAATATTTTGTCTTAATCTCTCATATTCTTTATCTTCTCACATAATTCAAAACATGGGCAGGTAAAAGGGGTTTATTAGCACAAACAAGCTATATTCTAAATATGTATCTGTATGTCAAGAACACAGGCTCCATTTTCCCATGGAAACAATAATATATGTAGGTAACTTTGTCACCAAGTCAGCTGAAGGAGCTAAGTTTACCCATAATTACCTAGTCACAAAAGAACTGTTGTTCAGGGTGAGCTTCTCAATGATTCTACTGGCTGTGAAGAGAAACAAGTCATGCCCATTAAACCTAAAGCAATATCTGCCTGATCAGATAGGTAAACCGAAGAGAGCTATATCAAAGCCTTTTAGGATTGGAATGTGAGTCATTAAGAACTACTGTGATTCTGC